TGTGTGTGTGTGCGTGTGTGCGTGTGTGCGTGTGTGTGCGTGTGTGCGTGTGCGCGTGCGTGTGTGTGCGTGTGTGCATGCCACCTTGTGTGTGTTTGTGTGTGTGTGCGTGTGTGCGTGTGTGCGTGTGTGTGCGTGTGTGCGTGTGCGCGTGCGTGTGTGTGCGTGTGTGCATGCGTGCGTGTGTGTGTGTGTGTGTGTGTGTGTGAATATGCACATGTCCTCAGAGGCTATTGGATCCATTGCAGCTGTAATTCCAGATGGTTATGAGCCACCTGATGTGGGTGCTGGAAAGGGAATATAGTCCTCTGGAAGGACAAAACTGCTCTTAACAGCTGAGCCAGCTCTGCAGTCCCATGATCCTCCTAAGTTTCAAGACGACTCATCTGAGTTAGGTAACTTTTCATTACCAAGAAGGAAGCTCTTTTTCTGCCAAAACTTCTTAAAGGTGCTCCTGTTTTACTTTCAGTGAATGGATCATGTAGTTGTTATTTATGCAACTTCTTTCTGAATATGGGGACTTTGGAGATACCACTGGGGGTCGAATGGGGCGATGGATTAAAGGAGACTGTGGAACCGGTACTAGAGGGCCTGAAAGAGAACTTAACAAATAGGACAGATGAGGACAACTCTGAGGACGTTGTCTGTGAGCCGAGAGCTGAGCTCAGGTCCTTCCCCCTCTCAAGTTGCTGGGACAGAAGCACCTCCCCAGCACTCTAGAAGCTCAAAGGGTGACCTGCAGGTCCTTGGGGGGCTGTGCTACTTCTTGACGTCTCTTGTATCCACTGAGGGCAGATTGGCCTGAGGTCTTTATCATCTTTAATCACAAGTCCAGAATTGACCAATTTTTGTCTCATATCTGTAAATTCCTGGTTTCTTGATCATGAAGGGAAGTTTAGAAACACAGTTTACCTGACAAAGCAACAAAATTTATGAGCAATAATAGTCGCAATCCTTTATAACACTAAGAGCAGAATTTTCAGTGACTTTCTGACATTTTCAATAAATACTTGTTTTCCTGCCCAGGTTGGAATGCTGCCCAGGAGGCTCAGAACACTGTGTGATCCCTGGGTTGCCTTCACAGACATCAAAGGACACATGGGAGGAAGTTTCATTGCATTCTGGGCATAGGCTGGTGAACACCAGGTTATCACTAGATCGCACAGGGTCTCTATGAGGAGAGATATGAGGCTTTGACAATACCTTTCTTCAAAGAACACAGGAGAAAATCAGAACATGATTAGCCATCAAGCACAGGTCGTTACAGCAGAAGGATAAAGGAGTTAACTTATATCAGATAGTGCACTTGCCTAGGAATTATGGGTTTCATTGGCTATAGCTTGCCAGAAAGGTCCTAGATTCTTCCCAAGCATAGCTTGGTGAATCAGTGAGTTTACTGGGGTTATTTACAGAGGTATGAGTGAGGGTTTACTTTCAGGAGACTAGCTGATTCAAAGACAGTTGTAGCTCCCAAAACCCACCCCAACATGGTTGATGACTCAGGAACCTGGAGCTCACTGTCCAGTGTACAGGCAGTTCCACAGAAGAGTCTTCTCTTCCTAGTAATTGTAGACTTCTTATCTAACCTTGGGGAGGGGACTCGCCAGACTTGTAACTTTCTGAGATTCCTGAATCTTATGTTTTGTTTGATTTTTGAGTTTTATGAGTTCCCCTTGTCCATCTAGGATGAGATGTTTCAATTTGGAGGAACTAGGCATACAATGCCACATCCATTTCTCTGGCTCTTGGTCTTCCACAATGGTTCATGAGCTTGGGGCGGTTATAAACATGTCTAATTACTTTCTTCCAGTTGTGGTCGAGCACTTACCCACCATGCACAAGGCCCTGGGTTCTATCTTTAACACTGCAAAAATAAAAAGAAAAGAATAATCGAAGTGTCACATATAATGAATAAAGTAAGAAAGGAAGTATGGAACACTTAATTTACATTTGTAACGGCTGTTGAGGCTTATTTTGTGGTCTCACCTGTGGTCGGTGCTAGAGAAGTTTGCATGTGCTAATGAGGAGAGCGTGAGTTCTGCAGCAGCTGCAGGAAGTGTTCTGGAGATGTCTGTTAGGGCCTTCGACAAACTGTACAGCTTTACTCTGCTTCTTTGTTGGCGTTCTTGTGTGGGTGACCTGTCCATCGCTGGAAGTGAGGTGCTTAAGGATGCCACTGTTCTTATATCCAAGTCTATCCTTCCTTTTAGCTGTCTTAGTTTTGCTCCCCCAGTGCTGTGATAAAATAGTTTGACAAAAGCAACGTAAGGGAGAACGGGTTTATTCTGGCTCACAGTTCGGGTACAGTCCTTCGTGACAGGGAAATCAAGGCTGCGGGATCTTGCGGGAGCTGGTCCTTAGTTCACTAGGTCTTGGGGGCAGCTCTCGACGAGAAAGGGAGAATGCCAGTACTCACTTTACCTTATACAAGTCAGGATTTTCTGCCCAGGGAATAGCCCCACCCATAATCAAGATGGCTTATCCCATATCAACCAACACAATCAAGATAAATCTCTCTCAGGCAGGCCCAGAGGTCTGTCTCCCAGGTGATTCCAGATCCTGTCAAAGCTGACAACACTAACCACCATAAGCACTAACAATATTTACTTATGTAATCGTTACTCAGCATTGGATATATGTATTTATAATTGTTATTTCCTCTTACTGAGTTGATTGACTATCATTTCTCTTCCCTTCCTCTCTCTGCTCCCCCTTCCTCTCTCTGCTCCCCCTTCCTCTCTCCTCTCCCCCTTCCTCTCTCTGCTCCCCCTTCCTCTCTCTGCTCCCCCTTCCTCTCTCTGCTCCCCCTTCCTCTCTCTGCTCCCCCTTCCTCTCTCTGCTCCCCCTTCCTCTCTCTGCTCCCCCTTCCTCTCTCTGCTCCCCCTTCCTCTCTCTGCTCCCCCTTCCTCTCTCTGCTCCCCCTTCCTCTCTCTGCTCCCCCTTCCTCTCTCTGCTCCCCCTTCCTCTCTCTGCTCCCCCTTCCTCTCTCCTCTCCCCCTTCCTCTCTCCTCTCCCCCTTCCTCTCTCCTCTCCCCCTTCCTCTCTCCTCTCCCTCTTCCTCTCTCCTATCCCCCTTCCTCTCCCCCGCCTCAGTTTTGCATTTCTA